ACAAGAGTAATTAGGGAGAGTCAAAAACACATGGGCACACAGCTGAAACCAATAGACCTAATGACACAGAGGAAGCAAAACTAAACATGCTGCACACAGGACACAATACTGTCAAAGTAAAACAGGAAACACTGAAACACGGACTAATTCACACAACTTGACACAGGAGCCAGACTTGGGAGACAACGGGAGTAGACATAGATGAGAAAGCAGAAACAATCAAGAAAAACAATACACAGAAAGAGAGCGAGAGAGGGAGACATGACAGGCTGCGAAGGACACACATGAAAGCACAACACAGGGGAAACACAAGGAGGGGAACATGTAAACAGGAAAGAGAGACGAGACACAACAACACGACACGACATGACAGACTCAGACAAGAAACAGGGAATGACACAGGGACAAGAAAACACAGGCTGTGAATATAATTAACTTGGCAGAAAAAACAGGACTAAACTAAATGATAGAAAACTAAAATATTACAAAGAAACCAGAAAAATATCATAAACTCAAACTGCTGAGTCGAATGACCCAGAACCACGACAGTATGATATTCTGCTGTGAATAAGGTAACCATTGTATTTGAATTAAAGGTAGAATTTACAGTAAAATATAACCTGCGTTGTTCATTTTATGCTTCTTAAATTGTTTACATGTTGATGAGACAGATTTAAAGGATTTCAATACTATAATATGTCATTTTCGGTATTCTAGGAAACAAATAGTTGCCTACTTAAACTTTATGTTATGACATAAAAGTGACTCTGGTCATAATTGTAGCACAGCTGACTCAGATGCTGTGATAATATAAGGCATAAGATACTATTTGGCTTTCTTTACGGCTGTGTTTTCTTTTAATGTACGAGCATCTGGGTGTATTTGGATCCATACCTTTTCTTCTCCACCAGGATGATTCCATTCTGAAGAACAGTGCTGACTTTGTTGACGATGATCTCCACTTGGACCAGCAGCCCGCTGTTCCCTCGTTGTATGGTGATGTCACATTCCACCCGGTTGTGGGTGAAGCGTGTGAGAGTGAAGGGGCAATCGGACCGCACATAAAAACCTGATCCAATGAAAGGCTCGAGGACACCGCTGCCGAATGTCCTGCAAGTGTCTGAATACAACAAAAGTCTGAGCCAAACAACTTTTACTGTATTCAATAATAGAATAGAATCAAACAATTTATTATGGTAGGTTTAAGATTAAACTGTTATCAGTTTAATCAAACCCATTTAATTATTATTTCAGAATTTAGTGACAAAATGACTCTTTACTACTCTTTCAATCTGCCTACATTTCCAAAAGTCAATATTCTATAGTTTAGCAAACATTTATATTCAGTAAAAATACTATTATAATTAATAATGCACATGATTAAGGCATTTAAATTCTAAATAAAAATTAAGTGGAATGCTAAGTACTCACATTTTTGAATTTCACTTGTCACAGTTCCTCCCTTCCCAAAAACTAGGATGAAAATACAATGTTATTTGTAATATAGTCACAGAAAATACATTTTTTAATTTTGTTTCTTATTGCATCTTTTGCTGTTTATAAATTGTTTAACATTTGTTTTGTTTGTTATATTTTAATAGCTAGAATAAAGAAGAGATATTCACATATTTTAATATCTGCTCTACTAATATCTACTTTGCACTTTTGTGATTGTTTTTCTCTTTATAATGTTTAAAATGTATACAAATGTAAATAAAAATGATGAATTAAAGGTTGTATGATACCTGAGGCTAGTAACAAGCAGAAAGCTGGTGTCCATCGCTGCAAAGTCATGCCGCCTGATGCTCCCATGCTGCAGTTGCAACCAGGAGGAAGTGCACTGACAGCTCACTACATGCCTTATATATGCAATGACAATACACGGCACAAAAAAATTACCATGTGCACATACCGCAACGCATGCACACACCAGTTCCCACACAGTTTCCATCACTTCAGGGCATATTGCGTTGACCTACACTGATTCCTTGGAGACCCAGCTTTAACCTTTAGACCAATCTGAAAGCGTGTCTTTGAAAAAATGTAATTACCTTTTGAGGATTAAATGAACTGCTAATCCACTTCTTCTTAGAACAGTAAACAGATATGTCCTGCACTATGCCTCTAACCAGGTCAAAAAAAAATATCATCTGATGACCGCCCTATCTGCAGACGTCCCCTCTATCATGTTTTCTGATTGTGGTCTTCCTTATGGCAGAGTAGAGTAAGGAGCAAATTTCTCTTCTTCTTACTGGTTGCATAGCTGAAATCACACAACAGCATGTATGATATGGGTCAATCCACATGAAGAGAAAGAAAGAGCTGATTTTTGTGTACATTAATTTTTAGCCAATAAATTACATTCACGCCAAATTTAGCTACACACCTTAAAAGTACATAGTCTTAACAATTTTGACTTGTTTTTCCTTATGTGTCAAAATAATTTTCTAATATCTATTTTTCACACCGGCACTTCCAATTTCTGCTCTGATAATGATAAGTTCTCATTCTGTCAGTTGTATGTATGATTTCTCTGTTTCTGTTCTCAAACTCTGAACAGCAGTCACATTATCTGCTAATCGTGTATAATGAGGACAAAATAATTATCTAATATAGTCAGTAAAATAATAAAATCCTGACTTTCACAGACCAATTTGTTTGCTGGGTCATATCAACTAAACTTTAATTTGTGAAACATAACCCATGATGGAAACAGTAGCACCTTACCTCCAATCACTTTCTGTCACTGTAACTTTATATAACCTGGACTATATCCCTGGCTGGGTCAAGAAAACAGCTCCCATATTATTCTCTCTCTCCTTTTACCTCTTTTTCCTTTGATGACTCTCTGAAGGCAGAACAAAGAAATATACTCAGGAGCACACCCATCATACACACACACACACCCAGGCATAGACACAAACAGAACACACACTTTCTGTACTTTTTTAGTAAATTAAAGTTAGCTAGATTGTTTTTAAAAAGTAACTATTTCAAAAATATTTGCTTTTCTGTTGTATATTTCTCAGGAGTGAATGCTGTCATCCTCATTCTGGACTTATCTCCTGTATACATTCATCTTCACAATTTTCAAGTCAAGTTAATCTCATCTTTTTTTTTTTTTT